AACCTTAATATGTATTTTCTCTAAAAAAATTATCAATAAAATTTTAAACTATAATATATTTTTAAGGAGTTGTTTATAAATTTTGAAACACAACAATATAATTTGTTTTGCTTCTTCAATAAAGTTGTCCAATATTCTAATTATATGTGGTTTTAAAATGTTTAGTTTTTTCAAAACCGAATTATAAAAAACGATCCAACTTAATTGTAATTGGGTTGGATCAAATCATATTTGGATTTAATTTGGATTAGTTGGATTCATGCGTTGAAAAACGAAATAAATTTGGATTTACTTGATTGGATTAAATCGAACCGATCTATTCAAACGAACACCCAAACAAATACGAATTGTTTTTGGATTTGAATCTATTGGTTACAAAATTCAGCTTTAACTTCTATTTCTTTGTAATAATTTTTTTCTAGCTTCTTTCTATTTTTTTAATAAAATTCTTTTGTTCAAGTAAAATAAATCATTGAAAATGAATTAATTTTGATTACGTGAATGAATGAAAAAGATAATAATAATTCTTTGAATTTGATATTGAATTACAAATAAAACTTATAAATAATTTAAACCGGGCGAAATAATCGTTCAAGGGCTCTTTTATACTTTTAGGGAAAAAAATAAGGAAATTAATTTATTAGGGTAATTTTTTTTGTTCACATCTGGGTAATTTTTTTTGTACATATCTAACGAACTTGTTGGAAGTGTTCACATATAACCATTATGACCGACTGTAGCAAATTACAATTGGTCATAATGGTCATATGTGAACATTTCTAATAAGTTCGCTGTGTATAGACGTATACGAAAAAAAGTCACCTAAATATAAGCAAAACGAAAAGGTAATTACTCCGATAATTCAATTTCTCTTCTTTTTTATTTTACCTTTTAATTTTGATTTTTGTATAAAATTTAACTTAAATGGTAAATAAATTTAAAACTACAACATTTTGGTAAATCTCATTTTATAGAATTTTATTGTTTAAGATATTAAATATAAATATTAAAATTATTAGAGACTAAAAGTACTATATATATATATATATATATATATATATATATATATATATATATATATATATATATATATACATAGAGAGAGAGAGAGCTAGGTTCACGTGTTTAAAGTAATTATTGTGTTATTGTATGAATAAATGTAGGCCAATCATTTTAAAAGGGTAAATATGTAATCATACATTTAGTTAATTATGGTAAATATATAAATCAATTAATATCCCTTTAATTTAGGAATATCAGTTTTAAAACCCAATTTCTAGTATAAATCAAAATAAAATACACCTAACCCTTTTTCTCTCTCATGTTCTTCATTTCTTCTTCAAAACTCTCATTTCTCTCAAATCCGCCATCTCCTACTACCCACAAATCTGTCATCCTCGAGACCAATGAGATCTATTAGTGTTCCATCGGCACCGATGTTTAGAAAATTTCCACTTTCCGAAGACGCTGACCATCCGACGAGCATGGCAGCGAACAGATATGGTGAGATATCTATGGTTTGTAGAAGTGGCCACGACGAAGGGGTCCAGGTTCGTACGACGCAAGAGTTTTAGGACCGTCCCTCTCTCTTAGTTCATCGCCCTTAAGCATGACGACGACACTGATCTGGATTTTGTTCAAAGATGAAGGAGATCAGAAATAGGGTTTTTGTCGGTGACGACGACTGATGTAGGATCCATCATCCACAATTGGATTTTTCGCTTCAGGCTTGTGTTAGAGATCGTCGGTCGTTGGAAAACCTAGTCGACGACATGCTACTTCTTTCACCATCGATTGTGCCTCCAACACTGCACAACTGTTGTTGCCTCCATCACATGAAAGAATCGACACTAGCAATATTCATTTTGGGTAATTTTCTTTGTTCAATGAAATGGTATTTTGATTTAATCGATTATTTGTACTTCATTTTGGGTAATCGACTTTGTGAACTCTATTTCTGAAACCGCTTATTACAATCTGTTTGAACCGATTTCTTTGCAAGTTATTTAAATTGATTCTGATTTTGCAATAAAGTTTTTTTTTTCTTTTTTGACTTCGATTTCTTTGCATTTTTGCAGGAATAACCCTATCTCAAAACGCTTTCATATATTCTTTTTTCATGCCTTTATCTATGAACAGATGACACTGTCTTCTTGGTTTATTTCTAAAACCACTATTCGCTATCCTAATTTCTTCTTTATTAAGTTAGAAGTTATATTTTCCCTTTTCTTGATTACAAGCCACATGTACGTGGATCTATTTCTTCTTGTATTTAATTTGTAGGTATAAATCATATCTCCATATGACTGGCAACAGTGGTGAAGTTAATATGTTAAACGTAGGGGTTGGGTTGGGTAGGAGTGGTTTTCGTTTATAGTATTTTATCATAAACGAATGTTTTTTATGATAATCATGAACATATTCTGTTAGAATTCCCCGAATTAATATAATTATGGGTAAATGAATTCCAATTCTATCAGAATGGAATCACGAATTCCAATTATGTTGGAATGGAATATGAATATTTTCTCACTAATTTATTCATTGGATTTGTTTCTACAGAAGCTGATGCTTGAAGAACAGACCACGAAATTTGAACGACGCCTCTTAACAATATTATTCTTTTAGAATGTATTAGTGCTTTTGTTAGATTTTGATGTTTTTTTTCCAGATTTGAAAGTTTTTTTTAGTTTTATTTTTTAACAATAAATGTAATTCTTAGCAATTGTTACATGTATTCTATAAGAATTAATGTAATTTTTGTTTTAATTCTTCAATTGATGGTTCGAGAATTTTGTTATTCTACAAAAAAATTTTAAAGTCATGATCAAGAATATTTTTATTATTTTATGGTTGAAGAATACTTTTATTTTTGAACATACTTAAACATATTCTGTCAGAATGTCTGAATTAAAAAGCTTATAATTCGTAAAATCGGATTTTTAAAATTAATAGAATCTATGATCCCTTAAAATATGCAAATTTCCTTTATTAAATCTATGTCAATTAACTAAAATAGTCTTCTAGTTAAATTAGATGGTATTTTTCAATTATATTTAATTCAATAATAGGTATTAATCAATTTCTTAAAATAAGTAAAATAATTGGCCCATATTTATGCATACAATAACACAATAATTACTTTGAATATAATAACCTAAGCCTATATATATATATATATATATATATATATATATATATATAGACTTATTTGATAATTATGCTATAAAAGTGGCTTCCAACATGTCGTGATCAATTTAAATGCTTATAAATGACCATAAATATTGTTCTAAGAAAACTTAACTGGGTCTATTAATATTGCAAACATTATGATCGACCGTCTTAATAAAAAAATTGACTTATCAGGTGGATTACTTTTCCGTTTTATTCACATTTAGATAACTTTTTTTTTGTACATATCTAGGTAAGAACTTATTGGAAGTATTCACATATGACCATTGTAGCTGGTCATAATGGTCATATGTGAATACTTCAAACAAAATTTTGACCTAGATGTGTAAAAAAATAAATTATCTATATATGAACAAAACAAAAAGGTAATTACCTGATAAGTTAATTTCCCAAAAAAAAAATATGTACATCCTAAAACTAATGCGAAATCGATTTTTTTTTTGAAACGGCAAATCTAAAAAACTCCTAAACTACACCTTAAATCCACATATGTCCACGACGGGACTTGAACCCTCGATCTTAATAAGGGAGTGCAACATCAGATACCGCTGGAATGCTAGAAGCCCTTTGGTAAATCAAAATTTTAATTAAATAGAAAAAGTTGTGTAATAACTAATAAATAGATAAGTACGACAAGACTTCCCTATTTGCTCGAGCCCATAAAAGCCATACGGCCCAGTATTGATGTTTATCATTCGGTCAGTTTAAAAAATGAAAAGCTGATGGCTTTATATTTTTAGGTTTATGGCCAACCAATCAATTTGGTTCGGGTCCAACACAAATGAAAGACGAAAATTCTTTATTTTTTTCAAATTCAAAACCAAATTATTAAAATAAACGGTTTTGGTTTTGGTTTAAAACAATAGACTTCAAAGAAAATAAGACGAAAATTCTTTATTTTTTTCAAATCCAAAACCAAATTTTATGGTTTGGTTTTGGTAAAAAAAAAACCAAACATAACCATAATGCATCTTCAATAAAATTTATTTTGATTACATATTTCAACGACTACAAATTATACTAGTATGATTTTTATAGACGGCGAAAGTATTGTCTTCAGTGTAGGTAGTCAATGTGACTACAAACACCATAGATTTCGTAAACATTTAAAAATAAATAAATAAATAAATATTGTATAGAGATGACATGTGGACGTTGAGGTTTTTCTTCAAAAAATAATTGGAGAATTATACCGACCACAGGTTGAACTTCAAATACATTTCTTTACTCATAGCATCCATACAACGCTCATTTAGAAGTTTGGGGTCGATCCAATAGAAATAGTTGCATTTTTTTCACTTGAATCTTGCATATTCAAAAAGAAATTTAAAGAATATCATTAGGGCCTTCTCTCCATCCAAATAGAGCAACCCTTAAAGTACGCATGTTATCCTTACTTCAGCTAACTGTAATCCTCCATTTCTTTCCATGTTTGCTTCAATATGAAGCTTTGCATTCAAGTTGGACTTCATGATTGTAGTTCTTTCGGTTGACAAAAAAGAATTATGTCAAAAGGGACCAAAATAGGACCGATGTAATAGCTTGTAATTATATTTAACAATATTTCCCTACTTTTTACTGTACATCACCAGAAATTCTAACAAATAAAAAATATATATTTTTATTTACTTATTATGCATGAAATTACAAATAAAAGTCTCACTCCCCATCACATTCCCCCAACTCTCAAGTCTCCCATCCAAAAGTCAAAAGTCTCCAAGCATTTGCCGTTGACTTCTAATTTGTTATCCAAAGATTCTCTGGATACAGATGGATCGTGACTTGGTCAACTTCCTCCTAATCTATTTATGCTTCAACCCACCTACATCACCGGTGAGATTGCATCGGAAAGCATGGACTACAAGCATTTCAGCCACCCCCACAACTTAATCATCCACCGTGTTTATGAATTAGGCCAACAAGTCAACTGCTCCGGCTGCGACTCCTCCTGTGACAACACTACAACCGCCGTCCACGCCTGTCACCAATGCAACTTCTTCCTCCATGACCACTGTGCCAACGCCGGCCGTTATGTAAAACACCCATCTCACCAACCCCACCCACTCATCCTCCTCCCTCACCCTACCTACGCCGGCGGCTCCTTCATCTGCAACGCCTGTGGTCATCCCGGGAAATCCTTCTCCTACTGCTGCACCCTATGCGAGTTTGATCTTCACGTCGGCTGTGCTTTCTTGCCTGTCACCGTAACTCACCAAGCCCACCAACATGAACTTAGTCTTTTCTATGGCGTTCCGGTGGTTCCCCGGAGGGGAAGTAACACCGATCTTGAATATTGTAACATATGTAGGAAGGTCTTGGAGGGAAGGCACTGGGCATACAGTTGTCAGAAGTGTGAGTTTAACTTGCACACTGCTTGTGCCACCACGGAGGTGGTGCCAGGGTTGTACCATGATGATTCGCCAGCCTGTGGAGCGGCTGAGGGAAAGAGCTCGGTGGCAGATGGTGGCGGAGGAGGTGGGAACGTAGTTGAGGTGGAATTGACCGAGGAGGATCTTATCCAGTTGTATAGGTTGCAGATGCTTGCACAAAGCATGGCTTCATTGTCTACTACTGGATGAGTCTCATGTAATCCATTCTTTTCCATTTTGAATTTCTGTCTTTATCTACATCAAAATCTTTGTAAAATAGAATAGGTTCCATCGATTAAACAAATGATTTTACGTATGACGCCAACAAATTGCATAAGTTATGTGTAGTATTTGCAACAGATCAGAGTTGGACTGCTTCCATAGCCAAAAGGAACGAACATGTCACGTTCATTTTGGGATATGGGCGACCAAAGTAAGACGTAATCCTTTGCAACCTCATCATGAATTAAGGTTTGGGTTTTCAGTCGTTAATCCCTCACAAATACATGATATCATATTTGGGTTTTCTGTCGCTAATCCCTCGCAAAATCATGAATACATGCATTCAAATTTGGGTTTTTGTTCGCTAATGCCACGTAAATTTGGAGAGAAGACAACTTAAACATATACCTAGTTGTAAAATGTTGTAAATTCTGTTGTTTTCTTTACTTTCAATGTTAAATGGTAACACCCAATTAAGTGGTTGAGCTTTATTTTGTAAAAGTGTTTGAAGGGACAATATTTTCGTTAATGATAAACCTTGAACTGTTTCGCATAATCCGGAAAGAAAAAATAAATTTGGGTGTTACAATTCGGTATTAAAGTCATGTTTTAACCAAATTGGTTCGATCTGTCTAATCGTGTCTAAACTTAAACTGGGTGCAAAATTTGAGATTGGTAGACATCACATGACCACTACTAGAAGAAATTAGGTCCTTAAACAATAAGATTATAGAAGAAGTACCTATTAAGTGGGAGTTTCTTGTGGGAAACATACTTGAAATTACTTACTCTTGTCCTAATATTAAACTCTATATAAAAAATATAAGTATGACAAGAATGAAGATGAGCTGGGAGTTTAAACTAATTCCATGCCACTGTTTTTACTAAAAAAATAAGTCGTTAAGTTGTAGTAGCTAGATAGATCCCAAATGTTAAATATTCTTACAAACAAAACGCAAAAATAGTTAGATATGTTAAGCTTAAGCTACAAACCTTAATTCTATTTCATGATAAGTCAACTCCTTAAGCTTAATTTTGTAACCTTTCAAATAAACATTTTAACTAATTAAAATATCTCGACTTAAATAAAATTTGATTTATTTGCTAAATTTACACTTAAAAGGTCAAAATTTCTAACTCTAAACTTTAGATGTTACATCCTATGAACCTTTATGCAAGAAAATAGCACTTTTTGTTAAAATACGACTAATTAATCAATTACGAGACAAAATGCTAAAAATACCGAAAATGACTAATATGCTTTTATGATGCATACTTTTAAATGAGTTTGAAATGTTGTTAGAATGACTATATTAACAGTCATAACATGATTATGGAATTTGAAGCAAATTGCTAAAATAAAGTAATAAACCTAAAAGATGTAAGATCTTATTTGTAGAATATGAGACTTAAATATCATGTGGCATTTGATGACCTTTACGAAGTAACTAGTAATGTATTACAATGAAACTAAACGACATGAAAGGCACCTCGATAATATATAAAGTAATAATTGAAAGTAGGTTGCCTAGATGTGAATAATAAGCCTTTTATGGTAATTGTAGGCATATGGAAAAGAACGATTTAGAAAATGAAACCTAAATGATGTAAAATTTTAATGGAAGCTTTAAGGTTGGACGGTATGGGCTCGGCGAGTTAGGCGCACACAGGGCCGACACCTCGGCTTGTCGAGCTCAGCTCGGTATCTCGGTGAGTAAATGCCGAGTTTGACTATGTTGAGTGGACCAATGGTGTTGGTTGGCAACGACTACTTCCATTTAATTTTTTTCCCATTTTTTAACCTCCTATAAATACTACAACCCTTAACCATTTTAACTCATCAAAATCAATTTACAACTCATATACACTCTCTCAAAATGTCATATTCGTCATCTTCATCGAGCATGTATGATGTCTTGCTTGAAACGACCATAGAGATCATTCAAGAAGCGGAACAGATGATCGAACAACCACAACAAGAAAATGCGGAGAATGCATGCCAGAAGAGGAGAAGATACATACAAAGATTTCGTGAGACGGCTAATGAACAACTCATGCAAGATTACTTTGTGGATGACGCCACGTTTATAGGATATTATTTTCATCGCGGTTCCATATGAATAAATCTTGTTTTTTGCGTATCGTCAATGACGTCACGGCATCGTGTCCATTTTTTCAACAACGCCAAGATGCTAGATGTACAGTTGGTTTTACTCCAATACAAAAATGCACTGCTGCACTTCGTCAATTAACGCATGTCACTTTGCCCCGATGCACTAGAGGAGAACCTTAGGATGTCTAGACGTACTGCACGAACTAGCCTTCATAAAATTTTCAAGTATGTCATGAGATTATATGGTCCACGATATCTGCGCAAACCTACTTGTAGTGGCATCCAACAATTTATGCTCATCACTCAAATGTGCACGGCTTTCCTGGAATCTTGGGAAGCCTAGATTGCCTCCACTGGGCATGGGGTTGTTGTTCGAATGCAGATAAAGGGAAATACACCCGAGACGATCATGGAGTTATACTTGAAGCAGTGGCCTCACAGGATATGTGGATATGACATGCATTATTTGGCTCAGCTGGCCCCTTCAATGTCATTAATGTTCTTAACATGTCTCCATTACTTGACGACATGTATAACGGGACTGCACCCGACTCATCCTTTCAAGTAGTTGGAACATCGTATAGGAACGGGGATTATCTTGTGGATGGTATCTATTCGGAACGTGCTTGTTTTATGAAGTCACTGTCTTGTTCAAATGATTGCAAAAGGTTGAAGTTTAAGAGAGCTCAAGAGAAGGTGAGAAAGGATGTTAAACGAGTATTTGGAGCTTTGAAAAAACGTTGGCATATTCTTAAATATCTCGCGCCTTATATGGAGGAGAAGAAAATGAGTGAGGTGATGTACACTTGTATCATATTGCATAATATGATTCTTGAAGACGAAGGAAATGTAATATGTGAGTATAACGAAAACGAGATCGTTCCACCAACACGACCTTTTGAGGTTGGAAGCACGGTGTACATGTCGTGGAGGGAAATAGTTCATGATGTTGAGACACAACATGTTCTTCGTAGGGACTTGACGGAACATATTTGGAACGTCGACTATATCGATCTTAATGCGGAACCGGTTGACGATTTGGAATGTCAATTTTCTGATGAAGATGTCCTTTAGGTCTATCTAGGTTTGGTAATTTTAGTTTCTATGGTTTTTATTTAATTCTATTGTTTTGGTGTGTTTGTTGTATTTTTGAATTTCTATGTTTTTATTTTAAGTTTACTGAATTTTTAGTTTTTTAAAAAATGCTATGTTTGAAATATTTATTTTGTATATTAAAAAAAGGTAGTTTGACAAGTGTGGCAACCCGCACCTAGCAAATGATAAATTTTGGCTAAAGTGTGACAAGTGTGATGTGACGCCTACGTGGACCGTGGCAAGTGGGACACCACACCTACCATCCTAAGAATATCATGTGTAATGTTGGTATTGAATATCTTTGATGCAAATTTGGATAGCATGGGAAGTGGATTAAAACTAGACTACTACATAGTCTCCTAGGCGATAAGAGACATGTCATAAAACTATTATATATTCAATTGTCTGAGTTTCATTATGAAATGATATATGTATATGATTTCAAAAGAATCTTGTGAAATGTTAATGACATATGAATTGTATCTATGACATATTATCATCATGCATTACATATCATGATATGTGAATGGAATAATGAAATGAAATATATGAATGTTTGTGGTGTGTTAATGCATACATTGAATGTGAACTGCATATGTTATAATCGTAGACCGTCTAAACACATGATGTACAAATGTTAAGAACCTAGAATTTCCTACTAGGGAAGTATCTATCTTTGCGAAGTAGATGTTATATTGGTATTATGTTATCGTAGGTTAATTTATTGTTCCTATTATAAATTAGACATGGGGTATCCTGATTATGATAATTATAGACCTGATGCATGACAACGAATCAATACATAACCGATAATCGTTATGAGAGCTATAAAATAATGAAAGATTCAGTACAAAATTGATAATAGGTATGAACTCCCTAAACCTTGCATTAGTGTGTGATCACGAATTAAATTACATTGCATAGTGGCATGATATATGTTTAAAATAAAATGTTTTATCAAATGAGCTTAAATTTATGGATTATGTCAAAACTTTTATCTTACATGTTATTTTCGTGATGTGTATAACTAGGAACTAGTTTAATTAGCATTATATGAAGATGTTTATGGTTTAGAAATCACACTAGACCATTTACGATAGAAGTCATTACCCAAAGATAGTTTACCTCCCTATATGGTATTATTGGGAAAGTGTATATTGAGTTTAGTAACACCCTTGTAGTCATATTGTAATAAGTTAGTTGTCCTCATTATTTTTTGGGTTGATTATTTACACATTTTTATTTATGGATATGTACACTTTATGCTAGGGATGAGCTTTTGAAACTAACTGGAACCGAATTTGTAAGATTGTATGTACCGATGTACCGAGAACTGGACTGCCGGTCCAAATGTCAGTTTTTCGTTTTTTTTTAATGGAACCGATTTCGTGATTTGCAACGAAAATAAGTGTTTTTACAGTCTAAATGAATTGCAAACACCAAATAACATTCTGTAAAAAAATCAAGTAATTATGACATCATATGAGTGAGATGCGTATTTTGAAAAGCGGGACAAAATATAAAAATTATTGAAACAAGAAAAACACAACATTGATATGTTGTCTTTGGGGGCAATAGTTGATTCAATATGTAATCAAATAGGTGTTTTTACAATATAAAATGAACTACAAACACCAAATTACATGATAGATAAAAAAATCAAGTAATTTTGATTTCATATAAGTGAGTTATGTGCATTTTAAAAAGCATGACATAATATATAAATTGCTGAAATAGAAAAAACATAGCATTGATATGTTGTCTTCCAGGGCCTGTAGTTGAAATAGAATATATATCCAAAATATGTGCTTCTACTGTCTAAAATGAACTACAAATACCAAATTACATGCTGGAAAAAAATCAAGTAATTTCGATTTTAATAACGAGTGAGTTATGTGTATTTTAAAAAGCGAGACAAAATATATATACGTTGGGGAAATATAAAAAAATATCGGTCCGGTTTCGGTATTTTAACCAGGTTTTGATGGACCAAACTGAGGCCGAATATTGATAATTTGAGGAACAACAAACCAAATTGTTAGAGTAAATCCGGTCCGGTTCCGAGTTTGTTCTGATTCGATTCCAATTATTCCAGTACTTCTGCTCATCCCTACTTTACGTAAAGGTCATACCTAAATTATTATAGAAGTGTTAACAAAAAAATTACTTTAGACCGAACTAACTCTGATTGTTTTCAGTTGCAACCAGAGCGTGCATTACCATGTCTTTTGGATGTCCTAAATATGATAAAAAAAGTTAGGTGTTTCAGACAAAATCTAAAGGTATGTCATACAGTGACATGCTATAATATTTTTCATCAATTCCGTTAAGTTTTATAGGTATTTCATGTTGAATCTAATCAGATAGAGGCTCACTATAATGATATACGTAGACAACCACTCTACCTCTACATGTATAATCATAATTAACAAACTGAATAAAATTCACATCTTTTAAACTTCGTAAACGGTTTGATAGACACTCCACAGGAACACAAAGGTAAAGTTTGTTTCATTTATCCTTGTCATTTTTTGTGAAAAATCTTGAAATCTTCAGTATTTATGTATTCAAAATCGAGTTCATTTACTTTTATGGTTGTAGCTTTCTCATATGTTAAAGAATTAGGAATGGAAAATCCTTGATAGTTGACATTCACAACTATGTGGCCTACAATCCTACTCTCAGACTTAATTTTGCTGAAAGAAGAAAGGATTGAGATCATAAAAGGGTTTTAGTTTGTAAAATAGTTAAACCCCTTAAAATCATTTTACTTCATCAAAATAATTAGGCTCGTAAAGAGGAATATGATTTTATTCAAGAATCGTTGACGGGTTTGAGTTCATAAAAACTATGAAGAACAAAGGTTATAAGCCCCAAATCGAACAACCTGTGAAACATTTAAGTTCGTAACATCTATGGAGATGAAAGAGGGTTTGGATCGGCTTATTACGGGCATGGGAATGAAGTGACAACTATTAAGATATAACCCACATGTATATTTACCTTGTCAAATATTGTTATAGATCTCCACAAATATCTTTCATATATATCTCATCTTAGTTAGACAATTGTGTTATCAATAGAGCTCTACGACCCCTTCTGTAAATAAAGTATCAACATAACTATTATCCAATTTTATTCTTATTCTTCTTCTTTATATGGTATCAGAGCTTCGTTTAACAGAAGCCACACCCACGAATTCTCCTTCATCTTCTTCCCCATCATCCCCCAAACAATCATCTGCAATGGGAGACAGTAGCTCCTCATTCAACGTCAAAACCATCCTCAAATATATAACAATAGTCAATTTCCCAACAACCCTAAAATTGACCTCCACAGATTACCTTGGATGAAAAACAAAGATTGAAGCCTTGCTCCATGGACTTGATCTTTACCGATACATTGACGGTACTTATCCTGCTCCATCACCAACGACTACTGCTGATGGAAAAGTCACTCCTCACCCTGATTACCAGAATTGGTTCAGGCAAGATCGTCTTCTCTTTGGTGCTCTGGATGGAAGTCTATCCCCACAAATTGTTCCCTTGATCACTAACGCCTCCTCTTCTCTTAAAGCCTAGAAAATCTTAGTTGGAACATATGTATCACCCTCACATGGTCACATCAAACAACTCCAATATCATCTCAAATAAATCACCAAGACCTCCGATCAAGCCATCACTGATTATATGCAGAACATCAAAAATGTTGTGGATGAACTTGCTATCCTTGGGAAGAAACTTCATCAAGAAGATGTGATTGATGCTGTCATCAATGGTTTGGATCAGTCTACCTACAAACCCATCTTAGACGCCATCCATGCACGAGACTCCACCATCTATTTCAATGAAATTCATGAAAAACTCATCAATCATAAGCTTGCTCTTGCATAACAGAGTCCAACCACAAGAATTCATCAGCCTGTTACAGTGTTCTTCTCTCATCATCAAAACAACAAGAAACAATAGTCCTCGCGACAGGAGAACATTGTGGTTCTACTTCCCACCCCTACCAAACAGGCCCCTCAACCTACAGGACAATGACCTTTCTTGGATAAATGTCAGTGGTGCCATTAAAAAGGACATTTCATGAGCAACTGCTCCACTTTTAAAAAGTTCTTTCCAAATGCTTTTGTACCTCCTCCTCCTAATCATTTTATACAGGTCAAAGGTGCACAAGCTCACCTCATGAATCCTACAAATACATCATGCACAGCCAACTGTCTCTTTGATAGTGGGGCAAGTTTTCATGCCATAAATGATCTCAACAATCTCTCTATCCATGCTCCATACGATGGAACTGAAGAATTGGTCATCGGTGACGGCTCGTGTTTACAAATCTCTCATATTGGTTCTCTAATCCTTTACATACCGCATACTCCTTTAATTCTTAAAAATGTTCTTCTTCTTTGTAACAACTCCTGCTTATTACACATGCAAGAAGCTCAAAAGACATAGTTATGAGAATATTATGATTTTATGTGTGGTATTTTGTAAGTCATCACATCATAGACACGTAGGTGCCGCTTGTGTTGGCAACCAGGAAAACCCAAGTCAACAATTGGCCAAATTGTTATAGTTTTGCATGTTTAGCATCTAATTTAGTCCATTTTGAAATTCCATGACTAAATTGATACATTAAAACTACTTTGATATCACTTTTATTAATAGTCCCTAACATTTAAAATACTTTGATATCAATTCTATCAATAGTCCTTAACTAAATCTACTATAATAAATGAAGGTTTTTTTTGCCACATGTCACACTCTCATTCAATTTATCAAATGTCATTTTATGGTTATTTTGAATTAATTTCTTTTTCACATGTCATTTTATTGGTTTTTCTATTTTAATAAATTCCACATAATACTTTAATGTAATAATTACAATAAATATAGTAATAAATGAATATCAATTTCATTAATGGACTTACCTTATTATTTAATGTAATAATTAAAATAAAATTCAATTTTAATAAT